CCCCCCGCTCCCCACCGCCGGGTAGCACCAGGTTTAGGTTCATGACTCGTGTGTGAGCTCACGAGTACAGTCGAGTACACGTTCCACACGGTTGAGGATGTTTATCCAATCAGAAATGGTTATCTATTGAATAAACGCTGATGACCAATCACAGACTGTGTTGGAAAGAACCGTCTGGGATTTCACGTGTCCGGCCATACAGATAGATGTTATTCAACAAGAAACGCGACTCCGCTTGTCGTACCCTAAAGCAAGTGCTATGGTTCTGAGGTTCTAGTTTGGTGTGGAACGTAAATCGAGGTCATGGCCGTGATCGTATACTACGGGTATTACTTTGGATGCGACTAACTTTGTGACTTAGCATGTTACAGCTTCCTTTCAGTCCGAGGTAGAAAACATGGATGCAAACGTGAACTCACTTCACTGGTTCAGGAAGGGCCTTAGGTTGCACGACAATCCGTCGCTTCGCCAGGCAATACATGGAAGTTCTACTTTTAGAGCAGTGTTTTTTCTCGACGTTGACTCTTTAAACGAGATAAATATATCGAGAAACAAGTGGCGATTTCTTTTGGATTGCTTACTTGACTTGGACAGTAGTCTGCGAAGATTCAACTCCCGTCTATTCATCGTGCGGGGACAACCGATTGATGTCTTTCCGAAATTAATTAAGCAGTGGGATATTACAAGGGTAACATATGAATACGACGGTGAACCTTTCCCTCAAAGACGAGACGACTCGGTGAAACGTTTGCTTGAATCACAAGGAGTTGAAGTTCTGGTATCCTCATCGCACACTCTTTACGACATTGACGAGTAAGTGGGTAGTTAAGCTTAAAATCTTTTTGTCTAAACCGTTTCTGCTTATAGTCTTACATTCAGCCTAATTTGATTTTTGAAGCATATTTTTCACCTTGATGGCTAGTGTTTTTTATTAATTTAATGATGGCAGTGCTCGGGTAATTTTAGTTGTCTGTTGTTCCGGCGGTTGCATACACCTTACACAAGCTTAACTTCTCATGGTCAGGCCTTGAGTTATTGGTTCGACATAGGCTTAGTATGAGGTTACTTACTATTTGTCCGAAGGAACTGGTTAGGATGACCTCAATAAAATTAAGAGATTTCCCAAAATGAGCTAGCTAACCGAATGAGATGGCGGTAGTATTAAAAATATTCGGTTTCCGGTCATTGTTGAACCGTCATCGGAACGGTATAAGCTTACTAGGATCCGACTTTCCGTAAACGTGAGAAGTGGTTTTTTGGAGGGCTTTTAGCTCGACTCAAACTTAAAGAACTTTTGGAGTGGGGCTAATGTAAGGGGAATTTCCTAGGAAACTCTTTCATAAAGTCAAGGAATTGTTGAATTTCTGAAATACGAACCATTCAACCAAAAAATTCCAGACATTCCGTGCGTAAAATCAGAGAGAAAAACTCGACTATGAGAACTCTTTGGATATTTGCGTTAACTTTGCGAAGTTGTCCTCTTTTTTAAGAAATTCTAGAAAATGCTGCTCCTTTCATCAATTGCTCTTTCCACTTAAAAAAAGAGGGACTGCTCTTTGTAATAAAGATGTTTAGGTCAAGTAACTTATTGCAACCTTCATATTCTGCGAGACAGAGATTCCCTTTTCTTTCTGCCTGCTGATCATGAAAGGCAAGAGCGAACCTCTGCTTGCAACCACAGAATCACTTGATTAGCCACTATCCACAACCTGGGAGGAATGAATTTAAAACACTGGTTAAATAAGCCTTACCTCTGTTCAAACTGTTCATGAGAGACTGTCGGCAATATATGCTGTGCTGTGATTGGCTGAAAACTATAATTGGCAACACTGCACTGACATGGGTTGGTTACTTACTCATCAAATTGAAAATATTTGTCTAATGAATAACTGCCAAGCATTGATCTTTTGCTGTTTGTACAGTTCCAGAGTCTATTGCTGAAAATTAATTAGTCTCAGCAAGCTATTTATTGTCAAAAAAACATAACGTGAGGGTTGACAGGTTTACAACTATTCCGAAACAGATTGTTTATCTGCAGCTACATGCAGTTTGTAAAGCATGGGCTGGACAGCATGGTGTTAAATAAAGACAATTGTGGTTCAATTCATCTGTTTCTTTTTCACTTATTACTTGATAGAACTTTTGCAACATTTATTTAGTTTCTCTTTAAGAAATAAACTGTGGAAACTTGAAGAGGGAGTTTTAGCAGTTAGTTGGGGAAGATACAATTCACCAGCCTGGTCAGTCAGTCACTCAATGGTTCATTACCTTTTTTGGTTGGTAATTCTGCTGATCAGGGTATTTCTCGAGAGGGGCAACATTTGCTTAACCATTGTGAACAAAATGTCTGCTTGGGTTTCATCTAGATCTTTTTTATCCCCCTTGTCATATGTATGATATGGGCTTGTCTGTTTCAAATATCATAAGCTGTCTTTAGGAGAGCCTTTGTTAAATCTTACTTGGGGCTTTCTTAAAAATAAATGACTCAAATCTTTACTTCTCATTATAGGGTTATTGAGTTGAATCATGGAAATGTCCCAGTTACATTTAAACAATTTGAGTGCCTCATAAACAAGCTTGGCACTCCAGCCAGCTGTGCCCCTGATGTTGACCAGGATATGTTTGAAAATTGTAAGACTCCTGTTAAAGATAATCATGATCAGATTTATGGAGTACCGCAGTACGATGCCCTCGAGTTGGATGAGGAAGAGCATGAACAGGAGGATTGGGTTGGTGGAGAGAAAGAGGCTCTTAAAAGGCTTGCACTTTTGGAGAAGAAGGTTTGTACTAGTTAATGTTTCCATTTATCAGGTGACACAATAATTACAAAGTAATGCTATTTGTCAGTGAAAGCAGTATTGCTGGAACACTGTAAGAAACTTAATGCAGTCATGATCTTGAACCAGGCCATCTGACAGGCTGCGGTGGTACGGATCCGCATAATTCACTAACATCAACATCCTTGCATAACCAGGGCCTTTTTCCACATAGAACTGAAAAAGTATTTCATATTAGTGATAAAGCAGCTGCCTACCATCCCCACAGGAAAAATGTCTGAAGAGATTGATTATTTTGAAGTAGTTTTTCTACTAAATCTGGGATGAAAACACTCCATTTTGTTTGTGACAAATTTTTGGTCTTCCATCCATCTTTTATCAAGGAGCCTGGAAACTAGTTTTTCATTGTTTGATGTAGTACCTGGTTACTAAATCACAGATGTTCTGAGAACACATCAACAAGTTCTTCACACAATAGTCTTTGTAAAAGCTGTGTTAACCCATTGACTCCCATGCTGCCTGTGATGAGCCTTGGCCTTTGTTCCACTTCTGACATCATCAGCTTTGACCAAAATTGGCATCATCTATACTCAACTTCTGCAGGAGGAAAAGATCTTTCCAATGATACCCAGATCAGAGTGATTGGGTTAATGGAGCCTGAAATATGCACGAAGATGCTCAAAATTTGAGTGAACAACTCAGAGCAAAATTTCCTGCTACTACACGTGGCTACTCCAGGGTAAAAAGTGCCAGTCTCAATGATGCTCTCTCGGACTTTTTTGAACTGGAAGCAAGCCCAGTAGACGGTCAATCACTGCAGCAAAAAAGATAAGAAAAGGAGAAAAAGGAAAGGCAAAAAAAAAAACAACAAAAAAATGAAAAGCCCAAAGACGTACTGCAGGTCACTTTCTCGTCCAAAAACTCTCAAAATTTTGATTTCTGTGCATGCCCAAGCAAACATGTTGTAAAACACGATGAAAAGCACGCTGTCATGTTGCAAATGCCTTTTTGAGTAGATTGGAGCTAATTTGGACCATATCCAGCCTGAAAATCTCCAAAATGTCCAAAAAATGCGTTTTGGGCAAAAAGTTCTGGGAGTCAATGGGTTAAATGAAGAAATAACAGTCAACAAGAAGATCTGTTAGATCGTATAACCGCGCTTTTAAAATTTAACTGTTTGCTTAGCACTAGCACTACAGTCGCAACGCAGTGCACATTCCAAAGCAGTCCTTGATGATTCTTTTGTTACTGTAGACATCACATCACTTGATCAACACAAACTCTATTATTGCACCATCAGTTGTAGCCGTTGTGAAATCTCGGATGACGTAATGGTCTTAATCTGGAACTTTCTTCGGGATATGTATGGGCAGGAACGATATGAACGATACGATAATAACACTATTAACAACA